AAAAAAAAAAAAAAAAACTCTTAAAATAAAAATAAATAAATTGAAAAAAACAAAGATTTACAGCCTTGGAAACCCTATGGGGCAGTTTTACCCTGTCCTATAGAGGTGCAATGAGTCAAAATCAACTTGGTGACCACAGGTTTGGGTTTTTGGTTTTTTTTTGTATGTGTGTGAGGCGGTAATTCAGAACTGAAGCTATCTTTTGGGCATTTTTTTTCACTAGAGAGAAAGGTACACAGTAATGGGAACCACGGAAAACTGTGTGATGTTTAACATACATCCAAGGAAGGAATACAAACAAGAAGTCAAAAAAACTAAGATACTGGATAAGGCCCAAGTCTGTACTTCTAGAGAAAAGATTGTCAGAAGAATCAGAAAAAGCCCTTTTGAATGACTGAGGAAAATGCACATGATTTTAAAAGATACTCCAGTTTAAAAGTAAAGGAACCAGTGACCAAAGTACCACAATTCATAAAAGTATGAGGGTTACAGTTCCAGAATTCTGGAACCAGAAGCTCATTCTTATAGTGTGTCTGTGAAAAATAAATAGAAGAACAACTTTATAAAGGGAGATGATGGAATTAATTATTGTTAAGGCATACTACAATTTTAACACAGAAATGGTTTCAGCAAAAACTTAGATAAACTCATGGAGGAATTAAGGCAAGCAAAGGACTTTTACAAATATCCTTAATTTCTGAGATAATTTTAGGGAAGAGAATTTCCTTCAAAATAGTCCTTGGCACAGCTTTCAAACATACACTTCATTTGATTACAGCTCTGGTGGCATAGTGCCTAAGGCATCTGACTGCTAACCAGAGGCTGGTGGTTCAAACCCACCAACCACTCCTCAGAAGTAAGACTGAACAATCTACTTCCATAGATACACCACCTCGGAAACCCAAAGAGGGATTGCTATGAGTCAAAATTGACCCAACGGCACCGAGTTTGGTTTGTTTTTTTAGTTTTCCTATGTTAAAGCTGGAGTCCCTGGGTGACGCAAAAAGTTAACGCATTTTCCTGCTAACAGAAACGTGGGAGGTTTGAGTCCTCCCATAGGTGTCTTAGAAGAAAGGCCTGGCAATACATTTCTGAAACGGCCTAGCTTTGAAAAACCCATGGAGCGCAATTCCTCTGAAACATTAAATTGACTCTATGGCAACCTTTTTTAAATTTAATTTTAAAGCTAGAGTTGCTGACAATTGTTACAGTCAGGAAAGTTCCCAACTTTGAAAGCAATGGCTAAGAGTATGGCTCTGGATTCTAACTACCAAGATGATTCCCTGCTCCATCTCATTTCAGTAGTGTGACTGCAGGTGAATCACTCAACTAAGTGCCTCAGTGACTATGGCAGCTCCCAGCAGCCTGGGGCACCCCTGGCTGAAAGTTAAGAGCTGCGTCCACTCTCCATCCACCACCACTCACACCATGCTTCCTGCGACGGCTCCCGGCACTGCCCGCACATGGGAGTACTGAGGCAGGACCATTCTGGGGAGATCGCCAATGCATGACTATGCTCCTAGACTTCCCTTGGGCTCCCACTCTGGCTGTTCTTTGAACTGAGTGCTTTTCCCCCTATTCTCTTTCCTCCTCTCTCCTTTCATGATGGTGTCCTTTCTCCCCTCTTCTCTTCCTTCCTTCTCCTTCCAGGGTGTCAGAGCTGCATTAGGATCTGCAGATGCTTCTGGCCTCACCTACTCCTTCCCTCAATGTACTTCTTGTACATCTAATCCCACCTTGGCATTTGCTTCCTGGTAGATGCAAACTAAGTCACCTTAGCTGTAAATCGGGGGTAGTAACAGTACCTATACCACACCAAGTTATATGAAAATTAAACTATCCAGTCTATGTGAACATTAAGAAGAGCCCCAGGCAAATAGTAACAACTCAAAATATTATATTGACTATTATTATGCTTTAAGTTTATAAACCCAAACCAAACCAGTTGCCATCGAGTTGATTCTACCTCATAGCAACCCTATGTGTGTTAGAGTAGAAATGTGCTCATAGGGTTTTCAAAGGCTAATTTTTCAGAAGCAGATTGCCAGCTCTTTCTTCCACAGCACCTCTGGGTAGACTTGAACCTTCAACCTTCTGGTTAGCAGTTGAGCATGTTACCCTTTGTATCACCTAGGGACTTCTTTATGTTTATAGAGAGCTAACTATCTAAAGTGCTTTTCCAGCATAGGCTTGTTCGAATCTCATGGAAACCCTGGTCAGAAGCTATTATTCTTATTTTACAAAGAGAAGCCAAGTGACTCCCAAGATTAATGAAGGAACGGAACTCAAATTTAAAACTCAGACCTTCAGATTCCTAATTTAAAATTCTTTGCACACAGAAAATGTTGTAGCTCTACTGGGATGTAAACTTGTTTACTCTCCAAATCTCACTGCCATCAAGTCGATTCCAACTCATAGTGACCTCCATTGGGTTTCCAAGGCTGTAAATCACTACAGAAGTAGACTGCCTCACCTTTCTTCCCCAGAGCGGCTGGTGGGTTCAAACCACCAATCTTCTGGTTTGTAGCCAAATGCCTTATGCCATTTATACATCACATCAGGTATCTGAATTTCAACTGTCTTCACCAAGAGACTCACAACACAGGGAGCAAGACTGTAAGCTCACACAGCAAATGTAAGCCCATTATGCATTTCAACAGCAAGCCTGTGTATAAATTCTTTCTGAGATTTTGGGAGTGTGTTCTAAAAATACAGTGGTCAGATCCTTCTGAGAGGTCCATATTATAAGCTTAAATGAAAACATGTCCTAATACAGGGCCAAAGGCTGACCAAAGGCTGAGCATATAGCTTCCTAAGTCCTTAATGTTCTGTGAGCTCAAAGGGAGGGTTGTTGTTATTCAGTTGCTATTTCATCGTCTCTGAGTCACGGTGACCCCACGTACAACAGCAGGAATGCTGCCGGGTCCTGTACCATGTTCATGATTGGTGGTCTGCTCAAGTCCATTGTGGAGGCCACTGTGAATCTGGAGTGCCTTCCAATGTAGGGGGCTCTTTTTACAGCAGAATATAGGACAATATTCAGTTGTGACCCAGCATCATAGCAACATGCAAGCTACCATATTAAAACAAACTGACAGACAGGTGGTGGAGAGAAGGGACAGAAAGAGGTCAAAAAGGACACAGCTTAGAAATGGCATAAAATTAACTAACTACCTTCAAGGTGAGTCTGAATCCTTGAGATTTACAGGCAAAAGTACAATATGAGTACAGATTAATTTACTTATTCCATAATGTTATAAGTAAATTTTGAGGTATAACAGACAACACATTCAGTGCATATTAAGTTTTATATGAGACGGAAAATATCAAAGTTGTTATTGTTGTTCTTAGATGCTGTCAAGTTGGTTCCGACTCATAGTGACCTTATGTACAACAAAACAAACCAATGCCCGGTCCTGCCATTCTCATAATCTTTGCCATGCTTCGGCCCATGTCATCAGTAATTACCAAAGATAAAAGGGTTGGAAAGATAAGAGACTACACAAGCAACGCTGAAGGAAAAATGTCTGAAGTGAACATGAAAGAGCTGGCAAGCAGTCTTATCAGGTGTCTGTCCTGTTCAGAGCTACACCTCAGGATCTAGAATAGTTCATGGCCATAGTGATTATTGAACAACTGTTTACAAAATGAGTAAAAGACTGAATGAAAGTGGAAGATCAAACATGGACAGTTAAAGAATGAGAAAATATGGCCACAAAAGAGGAAGAAAAAGGAAATTAATATTTTTAAATGATGGGAAAAGTAGCAATAAGGAAGCTAGGAGACAGCAAGGATGGTATAGGTATGTTTTCTAAGCTTATGTAAAAGTGTGCAAAAAAGGCAAAGCAAACATCTGTAATTGGAAAAAGATGCAAGACTGCTTTCACTGGACCAAGTGCTGGACTTAAAAAGCACAGAGATGGGCTCAGGATCAAAGTGAAGGCTGACACATACTTAAAGATCATAAAGACTGGACTGGATGTCACAAAGAAAACTGAAGAGGCATCCCCTAGACAGAAATAAGCATAACTTTCAGGAGAAAAATAATGAGATTTATGGGCAAGAAAAACTGGAAAAGGGAGCTAATCATGAAAACATTATCTCCAAAGTAAAATCTATCGTACAAAGGAATAATGACACCAATGTATAAAGGGAAACATTTAATTTTAATAACTTAAAGGAAACAGAAGTCCCTGGGTGGTACAAATGGTTAACACATGCAGCTGCTCATCAAAAGGCTGGCAGTTCAAATCTACCCAAAGCTGCCTCATAAGAAATGCCTGGAGAGCCCTTCCAAAAAACTCAGATACTGAAAACTCTGCGGGACACAGTCCTCCTCTGATACACCTGGGGTTCCCATGAGTCAGATTAAACTTGACAGCAACTGTTGTTGTTTTTTAAAGGAAACAGAGCCTTGACATTGATTATACTGCCATGCAATGTGCTGGTGAATGTACCACTATTTATGATATGGTAGTGCAGTGTTTAAACACTTGGTTGCTAACCAAAAGGTCAGTTAAACCAGTTTAAACCAAATCCACCAACCACTCCATGGGAGAAACCTGTGGCAATCAAGCCTCCATAAAGATTACAGCCTAGAAAACCCTATAGGGCAGCTCTACCCTGCCCTAAGGGTTGCTGAGTTGGAATCAACTCGACAACAACAGATTTGGTTTTGGTTAACCTATGCAATTAACTTGACTAAAACCAAAGCACATTTATTACATCTTTATGTTATTCAAGCAATTACAAAGCTTTTCACTACATTTGATTTCTTTTTAAAAAAGAAATACGCAAAACCATATAGTTTACATGTTCTAAATAGAATATTAATTTCTATATTATTTCTGGAAGAATGAAACTATGAGGCAAGATGAACATCAAATTATTGGTCCCATTACCTATGTGGGTCCAGTTGTTCCAGAAGGGAAGCTGGGCATGGGCAGTGTATGTGTAGAACATCCTCACATCTTGAGGGGCAAGCAGTTCAACAAAATGAGAGGACTCCAAGACATCTTTTTTACAATTCAGGATGGAAGTAGCCTGTTCAGAAATGTGCACTAACCTTCCAGACAGAAATGAAAAAACTGCCACAAAGGTATCCTATGAAAAACATTGACAATAAATGCAAATATTGAAACACTTACTAGGTAAATTTCTTCTAGAAGTCTGCCCTTATTAATAGCTTATCACACACACACACACACACATATCCTATAATGGCAATAAAACTTCCAAAATAATTTGTTCTAACATACTTACTAAATATTATCAGAAAACTTCTGATAATATTTGTAACTTAAATATTACCAGAAATCAGAGTTTGACCTTCTGAATGCTTGATTTCCATGCCAAATATAATATATGTACAAGCTCACTCTATACGGACTAAAGATACTATGTTACATAAACTTCCAATTCCTTCTTTGCAGGCTGCAGTCTACACACTTGGAGGGACTGTCTTCTTCTCATCAGATACATATTCTGTACCTCAAGACCAAGCTCAAGATTTATCTCCTTCAAGAAGCTGTCTTTGACAATCCTTATTTCGTAAGAACCACTTCTCAAATTTGTTCCACTGGACATAAATGTTATACACTTATAATCAGCCACTGTGTGTGTCCTCTAACATGGCATATATTTCCTCTCTAGCTTTACTTTAAAGATATTAAAGGGTAAATGCTTTCTGAAGTCTCCATAGCACCTCCTCTGTACACACAAGTTACTAAATACACACTACTATAATCCTAGAGATAGCTCATGCTCCCAAATGATAACATCTTCAAGTCATGTTGAGGTCTGAACATAACATTTGGTACTCTTCATCATTATTAACAAAAACCAGGCTGAATTATTCTATCCACCTGAAGAGATTCAAGGAAGATATACCAAACATCTCTTCCAAAATTTCATAAAAAATGACAGCATCTCAACTCACCTGTTCTATAAAATCCAGCTGTTACAACTTGAAGTAGTAGATATATTAACTAAGAATGATATAAATAGAAATGAACAATTCTCAGATTAGGATAAAATGCAGGAAAATACTCTGCAGTGTATTTGTTTATTTGTCAATTTGAGAGAACTCAGGGATGGTAAGGAGACAGAAGCACCTCGTAACCAACGTTCCTGCATCTGGAGGTGTTCTCTGTCAAGATCATAAGAAACTATACAATGTCTCCTTAGCACTTTTCTCCTTTTGTTTACCTCAAACCATAGTTACTGAAACTTGCAGTATTATTTTCAAAAAATCTGTATCTAGAGAAAGTCCTTAGGAAAGTCACCTAGGTTGGTATTGCAAAATTCGTGAATTCTTACTGTGTTTTTGGAAGTGTGTTCTGAGGCGATAGCGGTCAGCTTCTCAAGACTGTACATGGTCACATCTGCTTGAGGTGCTCCATTTTGACTGAGAATCTGGAAAAACTCACTGTTTGCTAAGAAACACAAGAAAATAAACAGGTAGGCCAGTGGCAATGGTTATCTTTAGGAAATAACTTTCATCACTCTTAAGCAGACTTATTTTTTAGGACACCTCTGTGTGTTTTCCTCAGAACCAGATCATTTTCTTCTTTCACCTAAAATATGGATAGTGGTGCAAACTCAAGATTTTGAATTTTCTCAAAAACGTAGTTCCTGATGAATTCAGCATTTTCTAGAGCACAAAGAACAGGACACACTTAACATACTAAAACAAGGTACTGAAAACCAAAATTCCAAATATACACACTTGTGCACACACATGACAGTAACATTATTCCACATTCAGCATATGTAAAGCCACAGAGGTCTGTGGTAAAGACAATGTGTTCTTTATGAAATTCTTCAAGAAGAAAAATGAGGGAGAAAAAGAAACAATTGTTTCCAATTTCTCATTTTTAATTTGGTAAATTCTTGATATATTATGACTGTATTTTAAAGGTATGTGTATGACTTGGAAACACATATTGTATTTAGTCAAACATACTTTTTTCCTAACACCCACAGAAGACAATGCTCCTTTAAAGAGTGAATCTTCAAATTGTGCTTATACTAAACACTAGGCTCTTGCAAGGGAGCCAACAAAATACTGCTTATTTACTATGTTGTTGTGTGCCACTGAGTCAGCCCCAACTCATAGTGACCTTCCTTGGGTTTCTGAGGCGGTATCACTACAGTAGTTCGCCCAACTTTCCTTCCAAGGAGTGGCTGGTGGGTTGGAACCGCCAGCCTTCTGGTTAGCAGTCAAGTGCCTTAGGCACTATGGTACCAGAGCTCCTCATATTTACTACAATACTCAGCAAATAAGGTTCTCCTGGCCTTCTTCATTTGAAAAATTAAGACACTAATGAAATCACTGTAGTCTGCTCATCTTCCATAAAGTATAAAAAGCTCAAAAGATTTCTGTGAATAAAACCACAGTGACAAGTTCTTTGGGTGTATTTGTACTACTGGCTTTGCTCTCCAGCTAGCTTACCTTGCACACTGTGCACACAGCGAAGGGCATAGTTGAGGGCATCTAGAGTGCTTGGTTTACTATGCTTCTCCGACGGGAAGTACTTTTTCATTTCCTGGACCACCGTCATGAGTTCTTCCGAAACTCTGATTCGATCCTGCTGTCCACTGGTAAAAGGAAAAATAATAAATTCACATCTTCAGTAATTACAACTTCACTGCCATTGAGTCCATTCTGACTCATAGCCACTATTTTTATATAATAATAACAGCCAACATTTATCACACACATACTACGTACCAGGCCATTTTCTAAGTGCTTTACATGCACCATCGCATTTAGTTTACAGGTTTATTAGTCCCTGAGTGGTGTAAACACCTGATGTGTTCAGCTGCTAACCAAAAGGCTGGGATTCGAGTCTACCCAGAAGTAACTTGGAAGAAAGGCCGGGTGATCTACTTCTGAAAAATAAGCCAATGAAAACCCCATGGAACAGAGTTCTGCTCTGACACACAAGGTGTTGCCATGAGTCAGAATCCACTTGACAGAAACTGGGAACTTATTTTTTTTTACAGAGAAAGAAATCGAGGCAAAGAAATAGGTAAATGTCAAAACGTCTACTTTCTCCCATTTCCACTCCAACCTCAACTCAGCTAATTCTAAGCACTTTTTATGTGCTCTTTGGTGCTTTCCTCCATTTTCCCAGATCTCCTCATTCTCATTAATCTGGGTCTCCCCCTAAACTTTCCCCTAGGCTCAAAAATAAAAGAGAAAAGTAGCGAAGCTCTGCTTTTCCTTTTACTACTCTCGGGAAGAACAAACAAATCTGGTTGTGAAATGAAAACAAAGCTGTCACCTGTTGCTGCTCTCCTCATAGTTTCTGGGCAGTTGGTAGTTCTGGCTCCACATTGCATCGGGTTCGGCTCCGAGGGGCTCCCTCCCGCGGGGCTGGGGTCCTTCAAGCTCCTCGGGTTCGTTTTCCTGGGAATCCTGAGCCTGACCGCGGGGCAGGTCCAGACCTCCGCCGAGCTCCATCTCGTGCTCGGCTGCCCTCACGTTTGTCGCCCGCTTCTCATTTATTTTGGAGCCAGGGATCGAAGTGTATTCCTTATTTTGGTCCTTGTCATCGCGTTAGGGAAAGTGACCAGCCATCACATACAAGAAAGTACTGACCTGTGGTCACCTGGAGGCACTTTTCTCACAGTATTTCCATAAAAATCTTCCTGGATGCTCGCACCGCAGCAGGTCCTGTCTGGGGGGACAAAGGTGACAGGTGTCCAGTGAAACATACGACTAGTGCCGGAGACAGGGACCGCTACGACTTGAGAGCCCCCCCGGGGACAGGTCGCCTGGCCCTTGTTGCTCCATAGAAGACTGATTCACACAACTTTCCCCACTTCCGAAAACTCGGCGCGCGCCAAGCACTGGGCCGGGAAAAGGTGGTCCCGGGAACGCACACCGTACCGAAGCTGCTGCTCCTGCCGCGGACGAGGAGGGCAGGCTCGAACTGGAAGCCCGCCGGCCAAGATCTCACCCGCAGCCGGTCCTCCCCGGCCCGCGCTCGCCAGTCCCGAGGCCCGCCGCGTGCCGGCGCCCGCGCCCCCCGCCGCCACGTGACAGCACCCCGCCCCCGGGACACAAGATTGGACGCCTCGGTCAGCTGCACGGACCCCATTGGCCTAGAGGCGGGGCCCAACTCTGGGGCGCCCGGGTTATATAAACTAGGGCGAGTAGGACGGGGGCGAAGGCATCAGAGAACGTTACATAACGCCCGTGGGTGGGCTGAGGGCGGTGTTCTGCCAATCCCCGCAGGCAGGCGCGTAAATAGGGGGCGGTGTGGCCTTGAGGCGGCTCGGGAAGCGGTAGTGATAGGGCACTGGAGCTGCCAGTAATAGGGAGGGCGGGGAATTCCGTCAGCGAGAGTGGGCGGGGCCGTCGCGGCCTCCACGTGAGGGGCGGGCCGAGGCGGTGGCTCTTGAGGAAGGTTGGGAGGAGCCGTCTGGCAGCCTCTTCCGGAGTCGGCAACCAAGGGCGCCAGGCTGCGCCTGCTGCTTAAGGGGGAGATGGAGCGAACCTTGGAGCGAAGCATCTGTGGAAACTAGGAACTCCCTGAGGTAGCCAGAAGCTAGAACTGAAAATTTTCAATGTTTTTTCTGCCTTTTCTTGATTTACATTATTTCCGTCCTCTACACTTTCTTCTTCTTCCTGCCAACTCCTTAGGTTAGTGGGCTCGAAAGGAACTGCAATATCGTAGTCCTGGTAATTTTAAGAATTTACAAGCCTACTAAGACCGAAAGAAGTTCCTGATTGCCACAGTTAAGCACTCAACCACCAACCGAAAGGTTAGCGGTTCATACCCATCCAGAGACACCTTGGAAGCCAGGCTTGACGAGCTGCTGCCTAACGATCATGGCTTTGAAAACCCAATGGAGCAGTTCTACTCTGCACATACGGGTTTGCCATTAGTTGGGATGGATTCCGCGGCAACTGACCGCCACCGCCGCCGGGGGGCGGGGAATCAAACCAGATTTTATGAAACTGAATTTTGACAATGAATGGTACTTTAACATTCTCCTGGCCTTCCTAAGGCGTTCTGGTGGTGCAGTGCCTAAGGCATTTGACTATTAACCCGAAAGTTGGTGGTTCAAACCCACCAGCTGCTCTGCAGAAGATTTATGGCCTTGAAAACCCAATGGGGATCCTTCGGAATCGACCTGATGGCAGTGGGTTTGGTGTTTTGATTTTGTGTGTGTGTTGTTGTTGTTTTGGTTTGGTCTTCCCAAAGTTACAGATTCATTTGGCAACTAAACAAAAACAAGTGTGTGTAAATGGCATGTCCTTTCAGAAAAGGAAGGTGCAGAGAAGTTCCCACCCCTTACCACCATTCTGAAAGCCCTTCTTAGATTGTATCCTGACTCACCTGAAATATAGGATCAGTGCAGATGCCCTGCCCTCCAGCGCCTGGTACATCAGAAATGTTGTTACACTTGTTACAGAAATGAAAGGAATTGTATGTTTAAAAAAAAAAAAAAAAAAGTTCAAATTATGTATTGGATAAATTATTTTTCCAAATGACACACTAAATTGGATCTCCCTTTTTTTTGAAGTTCTCACCTGTAGCTGCATTTACTCCACAAATATTTAAAAAGCACATACTTGGGCAGAGATGACCACAAGTGGTGGATGAGACAAAGTCCCTGCCACTTGCAGGGAGTCTGCAGCTTGTCCAAGGGTAAAACTTAGATTTTGAAAAATTCCAAATATAGATTTATTAAGAATACAAGCAACTTGGGTTGGGGAGGCAGGAAGTCTTCCAGGGTAAGATCATCCCTTCATTGAAGCATGGGGTGACAAGGGTTTATAGAGGCAAAAACAGGAAGCCAGGACACAGCTAAAGCTCTCTTCATTGGTAGGTGAGTGATCAGGAAACTTAAGATGGGCTATACGAGAAGTGGGGCTTTGTCTCTGATAGGTCCATTACAGCTATGTAGTGAGGTGCCATGGACTGAATTATGTCTCTCAAAAGTATATGTCAGCTTGGCTAGGCCATGTTTCTCAGTGATTTGTCAGTTAAGTAATGATGTAATCATCCCCCATGATGTGATCAATCAATAGTAAGGGGATTAGGGTTGGGTACAACATTCTCAGGGAACTCTGGTAACATAGTGCCTGAGTCACTGGACTGCTAACCAGAAAGCTGGCGGTTCAAACCCACCAGCAACTCCTCGGAAGGAAGATGGGGCAATCTACTTTAGTGATACTGCCTCGGAAATCCAAGGAGTGGTTGCTATGAGTCAGGTCCGACTGGAAGGCACATAACAACAACAACAACATTCTCAATCTGGTCACAGCGCTCATTCCATGTAAAGGGAGCTTCCCTGGGGTGTGCGCTGCATCACCTTTTATCTTACAAGAGATAAAAGGAGAGAGAGACAGCGCGTGCGTGCCTGAGACCTGACTACCATCAAGAAAGATTTGGGAGTGGAGCTTATCCTTATAACCCAGGTCCCTTTGCTGAGAACACCTAGACCCAGTGGAAGATTGAGGCCAAGACACATGGAGATCTCCAAGGAATGCCAGTGCCCACAGCTGTTGAAAGGAGACAAGGATCTGCCTCCAGAGCCAACAGAGAAAGTCTTCCCCTAGAGCTGGTGTTTTGAATTCAGACTTTTAGCTTCCTAAATTGTGAGAATAAATATTTTTTGTTAAAGCCATCCACTTGTGCTATTTCTGTTACAGAGCACTAAAGAACTAAGACAGCAGGCAAGGATGTGTTCAGGTTGGGGAACCAGGCTGTTTTTCTGAGAATCAGCCAACCATCAACTGTTTGTGGGTGCAGCTGTTTCCTAGAACATATGAAAAAAAATCTAAAAGAACATGCTTAGAAATGAGTCAAAATGGAGTCACTCTTGTTCCCTTGACATGAGTCCAAACCAAACTCACTGCCACTGAGTCAATTCCGACTCATAGCGACACCCATTGAGTTTCCAAGGCTGTAAATCTTTACAGAAGTAGATTACCCCATCTTCTTTCCTCAGAACAGCTGGTGGGTTTGAACCACCAACCCTCTGGTTAGCAGCCTCATCCACATTACGCCACCAGAACTCCTTGACATGAGTTCAGACTAGGCTAAAAGCTTGTTGGGGGTTATTCCCTTTATCAGTAGTCCTGAGGAAGAGAGAACACAATTCCAAAAGTAAGTTCAGAAAGTGGAAATTACTATGTAGAAAACAGAACAAGGTAATGGGTAAAGTGTCACTGGGATAGACATGGAGGTAAAGGGGGCAGGTGAAGGAGGAGGCCTTTCAGAGAAGGTAGAATGGGAGTGGGAGTGAGAAGGAGCCTGCCATGGGGGTGGAAAGTGTCTCTTACAGACGGAACAGCCCTGCAGAGGCCCTGAAGGGGGCAAGTCTGTTATTGAGAAACCCAAAGGCAGTATATGTGGACTGGGAGAGTGTGGTGAGGAAAGTGGTATGAGATGAGGTCTGCCTGTTAGGAAGGACCAGATCATGACCTTGTAATTAAGGAAAGGGATTTGGATTTTTCCCTAATGGCAGTGGAAAGCCAGTGGAGGATTTTAAGCAAGATCCACATTCTGATTTCCACTTTGATAAGCTTGGTCAGCCTGTTGCATGGAACACAAAATTTTTAGTTAGGAGGCTGTTAATTACAAGAGGGGGCTTAGATGATAGCTAGGGTGAGTGGTGTCAATAAAGATGAGTCAAAGAAGTAACTGGATTTGGATACAAAGCCTTGCTGATGAATGTTGTGATGGTAAAAGAACAATCAAGGATGACTCCTGGGGCTTTGGTTTAAGCAAAGCTGTTTATGACAGGGCATAAGCTAAGATAGCTAAGGCTGGGGACAGTAAGTTTTGATGGAGAAATCAAGAGTTATTTTCCACATGTTCTATTTGCGATGTGCATTCCACATCCAAGTGGAGATGTCAGTGGGTAATTGGATTTCCAAGATTGGAATTTAGGGGAGAAGAGAGGGATGGAGATTACATTTGGGAGTCATCAGCATGTACATGTAATTTACATCAATGGGGTGGACAGTATCACCTAAATAGGGCAGACAGAAAAGGGCCAAAGGCCAAGACCTTGGACACATGGAGACTCAGAGGTCATGCAGAGACCCAAGCAAAGGAGCAGGAGGTGAGGTTGAAAGAAAACCAGGACAATGCCAACAAGGAAGCCTAGAGAAGGCATTTCAAGGAGAGTTGGCAACTATGTCAAATGCCAGTGAGAAACAGATTAACACCAGGGCAAAGAATTTTACTGTTGGGTTTCACCAAGATGGTGGTTTTTGATGACCTTGGTTAAAGATGTTTCTATAGTATGGACTACAAAAAGGGCATGGAGGTGGCATCTTCTGACCCTCCTCTAACTTCACAAAAGGGAGGCAGAATCACCATCAGCAGCCCAAGGCTTATTCCTATGAGGCCAGACATGCCACCTCCCTCCACCCCCGCCCCAGCGTTTTTACCAACTCTGACAGCAGCCATCCCTCCTATGGCACTCACTACTTCTCTGCTAGGTTCGATAATTCGTTGTAATGGCCACACAGAACTTGAAGACAATACTCACAATTATGTAATTTATTAGGGAAGTAACAGGCTACGATACAGGTTCAGGAACACTTTCAGTATACAATTCTTCGATCAGGACAGTCTCCCCTTTTCTATGCCCTCAGGCATACCTCTCGGCCCTGCTCAGGCAAGGGCTACAAAGCTCTTTTAGTTCTGCCAATAGGTACACCTAGGTGCATCCCACTCCGCCAGCAAGGCTCCTGCCTAAAGGCATTCAGCTGTCTCGCTCCACTGGCCGGTGAGCCTGCTGCTATCTCCTGACTCTTGGTTCCTCAGCTCACTTCTCAGCTGGTCGTCTCTGCTATCTCTCTGCCCAAGAGGTCCAGTGCAGGGATCTTGGCTCCAAGGATACACTTCACTCCACCTCTTACTCATCTCTCATAATGGCATTGAGATCTCCCTTTCTGCCCCTAAGAAGGCTCATTTTAAGCCTAGCAGAATGACAAAACTAGCCAATTCCCACATTAGAGTTCCAAACACCTTATTTGCATGGTCCCACCTGGTAGCATAGTGGCTAAAGCACTTGACTGCTAACCAGAAGGCTGGCGGTTCAAACCCACCAGCCACTCCCTGGAAGGAAGGTT